TAAGCTAGAAAGTGTGGTTCAAAGTTTATGTTCTTCATCCTAGCCTGGTGAGCAGCCTCTGCAGTCTCAAAAGCTCACAAGTGGCCATAGAAGTGTCTACTTGTCTAGTTAGAAAGAGGAAGAAGGAAACAAAAGAAGGAACTACTCTATAGGGTTGATGGCCCTAGACAATGGCTTTATCTCTCCTGAGACTAGAAGTACTAGATGTATCCAGGCTACTGCTATCAAGTGTTCTGACCAAGGATACAAAAATGATTTCAGATAGAATGAGAGAAAAGCATAGAACAAAACTTAAAATTTTAAAAACAGACAGACTTATTGGACCTGCAGAAAACCTCCAGAAGAATCCCCAAAACTATTGCTCTTAGAATCCTCAAAACTATTGCTGAATGTTCTCTAACATTCAGTTAGAGAACAGAGCAACGCAGAAAATAAGCGTAATCACCGGTAGGGACTCTGAAGCAGGAGTGGCATCCACTTCCTAAACAACATGTCTCTGAAAACTCTATAAACTTTGATGAATGTCAATAGTTGCAGAATGGCTTCAGGCCTTTTGGTCATAGGGTTGCTATGAGTCAACAACAAAAACATATGAAACTAAAGTGTCAACATTTACCCTAAAGCAAGGATGAAGATGGTAAAGGCAGGGCAGCTAGATTAATGGGAACAGAATAACCAGAATGGAGAGGATACTGCTGACCCACACATGATTAAAACGGAAAGCAATGCCACAGAATAATATGCATATCAGTAGTTAAGTGGTAACCTAATTTACTATGAAAAGGTGTATAAAAACACAATAGAATATTATTTCCAAGAATGTTAAAACATAAAATGTCTATGGTTCTTTCCAGGTGCTGGGATTATTTGACTTTTTCTGTATTTCCTTAAGTTTCTTGTATAATAAAAATAATTCATTATTTAGGATGATTAATCTTAAACCATGGGTTAGATTATCATGTTGTTGTTGTATGCCGTTGAGTGGGAACCTGACCCTCCAGCAGTTTTTCAGAGGCAGTAAATTGCCTCTGAGATTGTCCATCCTTCTCCTGTAGCCATAGAGAACATAAATGAAAGGATGTAAGTCTCCATCTTGCTATTGTGTACCATTAGATGAAAGCCAATCTCTAGCATATTTGTAGGACAGAGTAGACAGCTTCAAGAGTTTCTCTTCGCTGAAAACTCTGTAAGAGAGCAGATCTCTAGGTCTTTGTTTCCGTGGAGCACAGCTTGGGGATGGATCCCTATTGTTGAGTTTTTGGTCAAAACTTAGCCAATGTGCTCCAGGGTGCCATAAACCTCTTAAAACAAGGGAAGGGGGAAAGAATGGGGGGAAGCCCTTCTTTTATTATTTAGCTGGTTGCTTTGATGCATCACATTTATTTTTAAATAAAATGTTATTTATCTGAAAAAGAAATCTGCTCAACTTTCCTGTAAATGCTGTTTGAAATGACAGTGGTGAATACAAATTAGTAGCTGGGAAGTGCCACAGTCCAGTGAGCAACAGGGTGGCATGTGACATCAGACACGCCTGAATTCTAATGATGATTTAGCTTGCATCATTGCTGTGATCTTGAAAGTTGCTGCCTCCATTTGATCTTTCTTTGGTAACTGGAGAGGGACAATATCAGTCTCCAGAAGCCCTGAATAAAATGAGGATGTGGTTAAGCTCCAGAATCCTAAACAAAAGACTGGTTTGAAGCCACTCAGTGGCTCTGTAGGAGAACAGCCTGCTGTTCTGTTTCCATGAAGATTTCTCTCCCTCTCTCTCACTCACTCAATCACTGTTGCTAATTTGGTTCAGACCCATAGCTGACCCTCTGGTAGGTGTCTGAGGCTATGAATTACATGGAAAGTTATTGCACAAATTTCTCCCGAGGAGCAGATAGATGATAGATTTGAACTGTTACAAAAGTACAGCCTTCAGGTTAGCAGTGCAACTGACTCTCCAAAGACTGTGTCCCCAGAGCTTCCTGCATAACGACCGTCATTGTTGTTAAGTGCCATAGAGTCGACTTTGACTCATAGTCACACTATGAACAACAGATCAGCACCTTGCCCTGTCCTGTGTGCCCTCACCATCTCCAATCTGCTTGAGAACATTGTTACAGTCACTGTATCAATCCATCTGCTTGAGGGACAGTCTTCCTCTTAGGAAACCACTGTAGAGCAGTTCTGCTCTGTCACACAGAGTCGTGATGAGTTGCAAAGTGACTGGATGGTGCACAATAACAATAACCCGTCTCTTAGGGTTGCTATGGGAAGTAAAGAGACCATCATCCTATTCCTTGTGTGATCAGTAAACATCTCTCTTGACATCTGAGTTTTTTCTGAGGACTGCTATTTGAGCACATCACTAAGGGATCTAAAGTGCACAATTTAAGAAAGTGTTCTGGCTGCTTGTGGCATGCTGTGAGTCTTTCCAGGTGTATTTTCATAGTAAGTGTGATAAAGTAATATGCCGTGACAGGAAACTGGTGCTGTACGGAATGCTAACTGGCAGAAGTGACAGAAATTTCCATTTGTTCTCTGTGTTTGTGTTGGTTTTCTAGCATCTCATTTGAATGGTAATGTGAATCTGCACTTCTCTTAAAGGCTTTACAAAGTAGAATAGACTTCTTTATTCTATGACAGTCGATGAATTGGGACAAGGCTGTTTTTAAACATAAATCATGAAGGGGGGGGTAGATGCTGCATTTTAGCTTCTGAATTCTCTGAGGGAAATGATGGGAGTACCAGTATCTTTATACTTTTTGGAAAATGGGTGAAAGGTAGGAAATATTGTGTAGAAAGTAGTCTAGGTGACTGTGCTTGGGAGTTAGCTAGTGGTAGAGTCTGTAAGAAGTAGCACTACTAACCAAAAGGTAGCCACTCTCTGACAGTTCGAATCCACCAATGACTCTCTAGGAGAAAAATGCATGATCTCTTTCCATATGATTTACAGACTCTAGTAAACCCTCTGAAAGGTGAGCTATGAGTTTGTTCTGATTCAATGGCAATGAGAATGAGAAAAATGAACTCTAAATCATCTGAAATAAGGGTATTTCACTGAAATTTACTGTCTCTTTCTCACTTGTCTTATTGTCATTAAATATGCTTAACGTATATGGTAAACTCAATCTCTTCACCATCCATCCTGATGCTGCCAATTCGTCCAGTGGTGAGAATCTTTGTCTTCTAGACACTGAGCCTCAAACCATATTGGAGGCTGCAGTCCTTGACCCTCTGTAGCAAGCACTTCAGGTCCTCCTCAGTTTCAGCAAACAGGGTTGTGTCATCTGCATAACAAAAATTGCTGATAGATCTTCCACCAATCTTGACCCCACATTTCTTTTCATAGAGCCCAGCCTTCTGGATAATCTGTTCTGCATACAGGTTGCAAAGGTATGGAGACAGGACACATCCCTTTCCAATTTTGAACCATGCAGTGTTTCCTTGCTCTGTTCTGATGACTGCCTCTTGGTCCAAGTGTAGGTTTCTCATTAGCATGATCAAGTGTTCTGGGATTCCCATTCTTCTCAGAGTCAGCCACAGTTTGTTATGATCCACACAGTCAAAAGCCTTTGCATAGTCAATGAAATACAGCTATACATTCCTCTGGTATTCCCTGCTTTCAGCTAAGATCCATCTAACATTAGCTACAATATCCTTAGTACCATGACCCCTTTTAACCAAGCCTGGACTTCTGGCAGTTCTTTGTTGGTGTGCTGTTTCAGTCGTTTTTGGATAATCTTCAGTAGAATCTTGGTTGCATGAGAAATCAATGCCATTGTTCTATAGCTTCCACACTCTGTTGGGTCACCCTTCTTTTGGATGGGAACAAATATAGATCTCTTCCAGTCAGTTGGCCAAGAAATTTCTTGCCAGATTTCTTGGCACAACTTGGTGGGCACATCCAGGGCAGCATCTGGTAGCTGAAATATGTCAATTGGTATACCATCTATTCCTGAAGCCTTATTTTTTGCTATTTCCTTCAAAGCAACCTGAACTTTTTCCTTCATCACCATAGGCTCTTGCTCATATGTTGTTTCATGAAATTCTTCTGTGTCTGCCAATTCCTTGGCAAGGATTCTGAGGCTCCATCTAACATACTTTAGACATGTTGTAAGGAGGGACTGGTCCTTGGAGAGGGACATCATCCTTGGTGGGGTGGAGGGACAGCACAGGAGGGAAAAGCCCTCTACGAGGTGGATTGATTCAGTGACTGGGGTAATTAGGATGGGAATGTCAGAGACAGTGTGATTGGCACAGAGCAAGAGTTTAGGGCTGTTATACACAGGGTTGCTATGAGTTGCAAGTGACTAGATGGCACGTAACAACAACAACAATAACATATGGTAAACTGAAAGAAGAAGTGGTTGTTATGTGCTGTTGAGTTGCCTGTGACTCATAGCCACCCTACGTGTAATAGCTCTGAACCTTACCCTATCCTGAGCCAATCTCACTGTCTCTGACACACCTACCTGTTACCCCAGTTGCTGTTTCAATCCATCTCATCTGGGGTCTTCCTCTCCTGCAGTATCAACCACCTTTCCAAGCATGGTATTCTCCAAGAACTGTGTTTTTGGATAATCTTCAAGAAAACAGAGGTTACTTTTTAAAATAAAAACCATTCCATAGCTTCAAATACTCTAAGACCAAACTCTTCCAAAGTATAAAAACAACACATAGAAGCAGGCCTGCTAAGCTACTAGAACTGAAAGAATAAGTTTAATTGTTCAAAAACGAGGGATAAAATATATTAAATTCTTAAATTGCATTTAAATAATAAAATTAAGTAGCATCAGTTTGCTAATTTTCTTTACCCATTCTTCGAATAAATTTTTTATTAGATTAAATGTTGAGACCACAGGGTACCCTGGGATCTTCTTTAGAAATAAACCTGAACTGTCAGTTTATGGTAAATATAAATACAAAACAAAATTTCCATTTTTAAAAGTAAATTGTCAAAAACTAAGTGCTATGCAATTTAGAAAGTGTATAAGGTTTCACAATCATCATTAAACACAGAAATATGTTTATTAAACCAAACAAAACAGAGAAAATTATACCAGCCCTCAGTTTTAAAATTTTCATTTAAATAAGCAAACTCTAAATCCACACCTTAAAAGGTGTCTGTGCATCTATGTATTTCCAAAATACTCATATTTCAATAAGATTTTCACATTATATTCACCAACAGTATCACAAAGTTATTTTTTTTGTTTTTGTTTACGTAACTGTAAGGAACAATAATTCTAGAAACACTAGAAGAAAAAAGCATAGCAATGTCCACAGTTACAAGAAAAAGTGCACATTACTTGGTCACAATCACAGTCATTACTTGAAAAACTATATGTAATAAGTAGTAAGAAATATCACGGATGCCTTAGACTCATCGTCAAAAACGGAATTACATAAATTACATAAATGAAATAAGGCAAATTCAGGAATGCACAGGAAATCTGAAATCCAACCAAAGCTAAACAATGGAAAAAATCGTACAAGAAGCATAAATTAAAGAACTTCTCCCTAAATATTTTAAAAATAGGCTTGCTTCAGTGCACAAAGAAAACACCATCCATGTGTGTTCAACACTATAAAATAACCAAAGAAGGGGAAAGTGAGGGAACAGTTCATTATAAGTTTGCAGCTGCATCTGCTGAGAGTTCTTGACACCATTTTTTTTTACCCAGAAATTGGAAAGTATACAAATCATATCAAGAGAGGTAACAGTCTTTTTGTTGTTGTTGTTGGTTTTTGGAAATGATTTCTGAAGGAGAGAAATGAAAAGAAAACTACACATACAAGAGTGCAAATTTTCAGATTGTCATTTGCAACCTCTTAACATTCAGTCATCTACATCCAGTTGCTGCTAGAGAGATGGCTGTAAGACAGCAGCGACAATCAGGACCGAGCAGCTGTGATCTATCAACGATATGTCTTATTTTAATCTTTTTTTTTAGATTAAAAATTGCATATGGTAAAGCTGCAGGGTAGAGTGGGATGTTTGAGATGAACATGGGTGCTGAAACGCAGGCTTCTCTTGGAAGTTGTTCCTGATGTAATGCTTGAAAGAACGTAGGCAAGGGTTATCCCAGCATTAAGTGTTATTTTTGTAGAAAGAATTTGGAAAGAGAAGGCAAAGCTATGTGGAAAAGGGTGCTTACAGTAGTTTCTCAAAACAGTTTTCTTTAGGACCTTTGAAAAAGTTACCAAAGTAAAAATGACAATTTTGAATGAAAAACAAGTTTTCTTTTTTATAAAAATTACATATTTTCTTTTAAAATACAAGATCCTTTTAAATTGTTGTTAAATCCTGTAGCAACAGGAAATTGTGGCTTTTTTTTTCTTTCCCAGTTACTGCAGCTTTCAAGTCCAATGAGTCAGTAGCAAATTCCACTACTATTGCACTAGGATCTTGAACTATTATTTTAATGTATGCACACCACAAGATTCTTCTGTTTTATCCTTGAATTAAGACTACACAGCCTTTCTTGCCCCCGACACTAATGCTGACGTACTAAAACAAAAAAGCAATAGGCTGGGCATATTAAAACGGCTCCAGTACTTCAGAGGTCAGAGTTCCTTTGAAGCACTTTAACACATCACTTTATGGATCAAGGACAATGTGGCATAATGGAGGGATTTCTCTTAAAAGACTGTGCAGTAAGACCAGAGGCATCTCTGCTGGGAAATCAAAATGTCATTAGTGGAAACTGCAAATTTCTACCTCAGTGAATAGGGTTGCCATTTGACTCAGTTCTGTTGTAAAATAAGATTTTCCAGTTCATCTGCAGAACGCAATAAAAATGCAGCTGATTCTCGATATCCAGCAACGAGCTGCCTCACGGCGTTGATTTCAGTTGGGCTCAACTGGGGTCTGGAGCTTGAACTGCTGGACGATCCTGAGCTGGGTGCCAACTGCCTCTTCATGCTGAGATCGGTGGGTCCTAGGAAAAACCACCACAGAATTAGATAGGAACAATATGGTTTCCAGCCCTTCAAATGAAGGAAGCCCATACATGATTGTTCAATTAATTCAGGTACGACTTCATGAGGGAGTAAGGATTTCTTTGATCAGATTGAGCGACATACTTAACATACTAAAAGCACATGTGTTTGAATTGTGGAGTGGGAGAAGCCTACTGAATATATTGCTACAATATACAAGTCTGTCTTGGAGGACGTGTGGCTGCATGCTCCTTAGAGGCCAGGATGGTGAAACTTCATCTCCTATAATTTTGTACATGTTTTCAGAGGGGCCTAGTTCTTGAAAAAGATATCATGCTTGGAAAGGTGGAGTGTCAGAGAAAGAGAATAAGACCCTCAACAAAATGGATCGAAACAGTGACTAACAATAGGCTTGAGCATATCAGAGACCTTAAGAAAGGCTCAGGATAGGGCAAGGTTCAGATCTGTTGTTCAAAGACTTGCTATGAGGTGTATGTAGTTGATTCGCTGGCACCTAACAACAACAATTGAGCCATTTCATTTAGAACTTGTTATGAAGCAATAGTGAAAACAGAGATGTATATGGGTGGGACAAACAGTTAAGCATTCTATTACTAGCAGAAATGTTGGACATTTGAATGCATTCAAGGGCACCTCAGAAATAAACTTTGGTGATGTGCTTCTGAAGGGTGATGGCTTGCAAATTCTATGGCTCAGTTACACCCTGACACACGTCCTATTTGAGCCCAGGGGTTTTTTTCCCCCCAACAAATTGATTGTTGTTGGTATGTGCCACAGAGTCAGAACCATCTCCTAGCTGACTGTCCAGTGAGTGTCTTTCAAGGGGCTGTAAACCACACGGGAGAAAATAACCCATCTTTTTCCTGAAGAGCAGATGGTGGATTCAAACTAGATACCATTTAAAAAATGTGGATATGGTAGATGGACATTTGTTTTAAAAGTGTTCTCCAAACAAGTTCATAGTGAAAACAATACTCTTGAGAAACTAGACTTTAGGTAAACTCACTTCTATGTTTATTTGTATATAACATCATGGGCCTTTATTTCTTTTCTTAGATCTACTTACTTAGAATTTGATAAATCTAATATTTTAATTAGTTTACATATATTGATCCATATAAATTATGTTCTATATGGGTACTTTGTGTTTTTTACGTTCATTGGTATGTTGTTGTTGTTGTTGTTGTTATGTGCCATCGAGTCGCTTGTGACTCATAGCGACCCTACGTACAACAGCCCTAAGCTCTGCTCTGTCCTGTGCCAATCACACTGTCTCTGACACATCCATCCCGATTATCCCAGTCACCGAATCAATCCACCTCATAGAGGGCCTTCCCCTCCTGTGCTTTCCCATGCATGATGCCCTTCTACGAGGACTGTATACATTATATTTTATATATATAAAATGATTTATATATATAAGATGATATAATTATATCATTGCTCTATGCTTATTATTATCCATCTATTCAAGCTCCCATAAATCATTCCCACTACTACTTTTTTGACAGCTTTAATGACATGGTCTGTAGAGAGTTGTATTTGTTACCCAAAGAGTTTGTCCCTCTGGTGGTTCAAATTTACCAGCAGCTCCTATGGAGAAAGACGAGCCATTCCCTCCGATGCCCACTGGAAGCTCAGCTGAGTCAGTTCCAATTCAATGGCATTAAGCTGAGTTTTATCCAGAAACTCTTTTACAAGATACATCAAACTCTTTAACTCAGGTAATTTTTTTAAGATATTGCTTTGCATCAATTCTTCCAGAATGAATAACACTTTATTATACACATAAATGTTCTTTTTATACATAACTTTGTTAAGTATATACTACAAGTATCAGTTCTAGAATAATTAACAGATTAAACTAAAATACTTAAATGAAAGCATTGCTAAAAATGTAACTAAATGTGATAAACAAACGAAAAATACTGATTCTCTAACTTCAAAATATTTAACAGATTTTCCTAAACATATTGCAAGTTTTTAGAAAATGGTATTCCTTTGGGGAAACGAAAATAAAAAATGCTATTTCATCTTTCTCTTTCTCCTGGAGGCACAATGGAGCCGGGTCAAGACCCAACTCTCTTCTTCTGTGTACCCTGAAGGGAGAATAAGCTGTCTGCCTATCAGCAGTAAGGCAGGTGTCCCATGAGAGAGAAGTGTCCTGACTTGGAATTTAATTAGTGCAAAGACAAGACTAGCACACTTGAACTCTAACATCTGAGAGAAACTTATTTCCACTTCTGAAACTGCCTTTCAAAGCTTTGATTTTCTAGCAGTGGTTAACTTCTGCTTCTGGTGTTTATAAAACCATGACACCAACGCGTTAAGTTGAGAGAGAATCTTATGAAGATGCGTCACACTTGCAAATGGAAATCACTGAGTAAGTGTTCAAGCAAATTATTAACAGCGAGTTGCTTATTTGGAAAGTTTTGACCAGGATTTAACAAGCTTCTAGTCCCTAAAAAAAGCCCACTTTCAATGTCATGTCCTTTGCTTCATATTTAAGAAGTCAAGTAGCAGAATAAATGTTTATTTTTTAAAAATGCTTGGAAACTTTATCTGTTAGCTTTGTAAATGCTTAGTGTCTGTCTGGCTTACTACCATTATTTTATTAGAAGGTACAGTTTTTGCTATAAAGTTCCTGTCAAAGGGAGTCATGCTGTCAACGCAAAGGCTCAAAAGGTTCAATCCATCAGGTACACCATGGTAGAAAGATAAGCAATCTCTTCCCATATGATTTACAGTCTCTGAAAACCTGCTGGAGGGTCAGCTAAGAGTCAACTTTGACTCAAGGGCAATGAATTTAGAGTGAATTCCTGTCATGCCTAGTTGCTGGCTGACATCTTGAAGCAGACTTGAGAAAACAATTGGTTATGACTGCAGTTCTTTTGGGCTTAGAGGATTCTTGCTTTATTCTCTACCTCTTTGCTTATTGATTTGAGATTTCAAACCAACAAGACATGGCTTTAATTTGTTGTTGTTGTGTACATTTGACTTAGAACTGACCCACAGCTGACTTTCCAGCAGTTTTCTAACAACAGTTAATTGCAAGGGAGTAGATTTCCCATTCTCTTCACACAGAGCAACTGGTAGATTCAAACCATCTACCTTCGGGTTGTCAACACAACTCTTTACCACTAGATCACTAGAGCTCAACTTCATATAGATCATTATTTTTAAAAAACAAAACCAAAAACAACAACTTCTGTTGCATAAATTCAGACTCAGGGTTATCCCATCTATATCAGATTCAAATTGCCCAATACGGTTTTCAATGGCTGACTGTTTGGAAATAAATTATTAGGCCTCTCTTCTGAGACACCCATGGTGGACTCAAAACACCCAAATTTTTGGTTAGTAGTTAAGCATACTAATTATGCAAACCACTGTTCAAGGCAGACAAACTCTAGAGAGTTCAATCCTATATAAAGATGTCAATCAGAACTCTGTTACTTTTTTTTTCTCACCAAAAACATTGGTTACTTTGTTTTGATTTTATACAAATCTACAGAATCAAAGTATATAAATCACAATTAGAGAAACAAGTCATTTTGGCTGAAGGCTTATCATTCAAAGCCTCAGTTTATTAGATTCATTACAGTAGGGGGTGAGGAGAAGCCTTAACAATCCTCACCAGTGAACAAATTCTTTACCTACTACTTAAATATTCTATTTAAGTATTGTCATAAACATTTATTTCTGCTTCATTGAGTCAGTGTCATACTTGATAGTTTTAGCTTAATTGACTCAGAAAAATTACAAAGTAATTATAAGGCATATAGATGATAAAGCAAATTTTCAACTTTTACAAAGATGTTTCATTTAAAGATGTCTTAAGAAAAATATTCCTGGTTGTTGTTGTTAGATACAGTCGAGTATAACCAATAGCAACTTTATGAATCACAGATCTGAATCTCGTCCTTTCATGTGCCACCCTCATCATCTCTGACACACTTGAGCCCATTGCTGCAGTCACTGTGTCAATCCATCTAGTTGAGGGCTGACTCTCTTTAGCCAACCCTCCACCTTTTTGATAGATACAATATATAGGCAACCCACTTTCATTGTGGCTGTCTGATATATAGATATATAAGATATCCACGAGATCTGTTCAAATCACAGACAAAGCCAATGAGAAACATGGTTGTGGAAGAACTAGACAGTTAAAAAGAATGTTGCTACAAAAGAGATCTTAAGAGAAACAGGCTTGAATATCAAAAGGTAAAGAAAATAGTCATGAAACTAAAGCCATTTTTATATAAGAAACCACATTTTTTCCAAAATACATGCTTACATCATGACCATTCTGAAAAGGTGTAGAAGAGATAAAGATATCACATGTTAACATCCAATAATTTTTGAAAAATGGAATCCTGCCAAAACCAATCAGTCCTTGATTCAATTTTATTCTTCTAAGTTTTGGGTATATATTTAAATGATAATTGAATTTCTGTTGAATGAGAAAATTAAGAAACTGTACATTTATAATGTTTCTTTTTCTTTTGCATGTTAAAGTATTTGTTATTTGCTTACTTTCCCCTTATTTGCAGTGTATTTTTGGTTCCTGTTTTAAGTTGATTCACTTTTATTCTGGTATTAATTTCTAGTGGCCAAGTGGGTAAAGTGTTGCATTACCAACCCAAAGCTAAATAGTTTGGATCTACCAGATGCTCCATGGGAAAAATGAGCAATTTAGAGACATTCCAAGCAATTTACAGTCTCTACAAACTTGCTGAAGGATCAGCTGTGAGTCAGTTCCAACTTGACACCAAAGAAAGTTGGTTTTTTTTTAGCTTTTAATGCTCATATGTAGCAGAATTTTGTTTTGTTTTTAATAATAGAGAACTATCTTCTCAAAAATTGCTATAACAATTTTTATTTCGAAAATATCACACAAGGAGCTAGAGTGCAAGGCCAGGAGAGCAGGCAACTTCTTTATTCTATTTTCCATCTTCTCAATAGTTGTGATAGCACA